GTCATCCATCTTACAGATTGAGGGATGGAGGCCCACAGAAATGAATGACTTGTCTGGGGTCACCACTACATCTTCAGTGTAGGCTTCTGCCCCATTTCCAGCATCCACTCACTAAATCCAGCTTTCCCAGGTCCCAGAGGGACAGAGACTCCAGGAAGTGGCTAGGCATGAACAATGTATCTCATACAAGAGACCTTACACGTGGCCACCTCCTGCCTCGCTCACATTGAAGTCAGAAAAACAGCCTCATTCAACAAGCTCCCCACAAATGGCCCTTCTCTCTGATCGCACTGCCTTCTAATTTAGAGGGAGTTTCCAGGTCTGTTTTTCATCCTTTTTGGTTTGGCACCAGCAACACTTGCCCTCTATGTGAGAGACAAAATATAACCCTGTTCCAATTCAAGATAGCATAACTTCTCTTGTAAGTTAATCATTAGGTGGGTTTTCTTAGTTCAAAAGTCCTCCCAGGCTTGGCTCAATGGGAGAAATGGGATTCTAAGGCAGAAGTGTTTAGCATACGCCTTGGCGATGACTCACTGAGCGTATGAGGTCTTCTTGTTGAACTATGAATTAAAGCTAAATTTAGTTGAATGCAGTCTTACTGTTTTGAAACAAAATGGTGATGACAAGGCAGATCTTTTTCAGCTTAGGAAAAATCCTGAGTATAATGGCATAAGTTTATATAAGTGATGTTCCAGAAACTTACATTTTATATGAAAGACCTAAAGAATTACATTCAAGTAAAGAGAAGAGAAAGTGGAAACATGATTGAACTCTGCAGTATGTGAACTACACTGGGGATACCGTGCAAGTTCAGGGACAAAGTTCAGGAAGAAGAGGGGTGGGGGGATGGGGGTGGGGGTGAAGCGAGGGAGGGAAGGGAGAGAAACTATGCGTTTAGGCTGGAGAGCAGTTAAAAGCACTGGCTGTTCTTGCAGAGGACCTGGGTTTGGCTCCCAGCACCCACATGGTGGTTAACAACCATTCACAGCTCCTGTTCCAGGAGATCTGATGCCCTCTTCTGCCCTCCATGGGCATTGCACAACATGGGTGCACATACATATATGCAGGCAATATACTCATACATATAAAAAATTAAATATAATAATTTTAAAATAAAACTATGCATTTAATGAAAGTCCAGAATTGAAAGGGAATTAGAATAAATATTTGCAAGAAATGTGTCAGTCTGATGAAAAGATCCATATAAATTTATAGGAAAAGCCCAAGACCTTAAGTCAATAATAACAGGAACATGTCAAATGAGGATGTATGGAGACAGACATGGGAAATGTCTATCTCAACAACAACCAAAGAAACACAAGTGAAAAGAAGGTCATGTGTTGCTTCAGGAAAGTAATTCTTTTTTTTTCCCTAACAGATAAACTTAATCTTAAAGATGGCAACCTGGGTACGGTCTTCATTGACAAGCTAGCCATAAAGTGACTCTAACTTGTTGGAAATTGCTTTGACAATAGGTATAAAATAGCCTTTAAGATGATCTTCTCTGACATGGTAATTTTAGTTTCCAAGTACAAACTTAAAAACGAAAGCCTAAGAATAGGACATCACTATGCACAAATATATTAGAAAATAATATGTCCATTTATGTTCGTATGTTAGAATGGGTATGTAAACGATGACTTATCTTCACACTGGAATAATATGAGAATATAAAATTTTGCAAAAATATGTGTTAATCAAAGAAAGATGCTACAAAGAAATGAGGCACCAAACCATGAAAAGACACTGAAAAGCTTTAAATGCCTATTATTAAAAGTGAAAAAAAAGCCAGTCTGAAAAGGCTGCATGCTATGTGTATTCAAGCCTTTAGCATTCTGGAAATGGGAGAGCTACAGAGGCGGTCAAAGGAAAAATCAAGAGTTGATAGGTACTGAAGGGTCTGAGTAGGCAAAGCACAGAGGACTTTGGGTCTGTGACGCTTCTGTGTCTGATACTACCATGCTGTATACATGGCATCATAATCTGTTCAAATCCATAGCATGTGCAGCCAGACTGAACCCTCAGACTGTGGGTGCTACTGATGTGCCATTGAAGGCTCCCCACTTGTTGACCACTGGAAGTTAGTAATGGAGGAAGATGGGCCTAGAGGTTGGGGATGTTTGGGAAATATCTGAACCTTCTTGATTCTTCTGTGAACTTAAAACTGCTCTAATTTTTACAAAAAAAAAAAAAAGAAAGAAAGAAAGAAAAGAAAAAAGAAAAAAAATTGTGGAAATATTTACAAAGGTTGTGTTTTCATCCTGGTAGAGCTGCTTCCTTCTATTCCCATGTCTGTAATTACCATTTTCAACCATGAATCTGTATTATTTTATTGAATAGACAAAAAATAAACATTTCAAGAGTTTAAAAAGCTACAGAACCAAGCTGTACATGTGTTTGTTTATTTAGGCAATTCTGAGAAAAAAATTGTGGAAATATTTACAAAGGTTGTGTTTTCATCCTGGTAGAGCTGCTTCCTTCTATTCCCATGTCTGTAATTACCATTTTAAACCATGAATCTGTATTATTTTATTGAAAAGAAAAAAAATAAACATTTCAAGAGTTTAAAAAGCTACAGAACCAAGCTGTACATGTGTTTGTTTATTTAGGCAATTCTGAGAGTTTGTAATCCCCTGTTTGCTCTTTGAGGCCAGAGTTTTGTAAACTTGCATTCCTTTTGGCTATTTGTGAGTTTACACCGTTTCCCCTGTGCTCTAAGCTGTGACCAGTTAGCGTCTTTGTGCCCAAAGAAAATAAGCCATCCTTGGGGAATCTCAGTGGGAACCATATTTTCGGATATTTTCCCACACTGTGTGATTCAGTCTTTACGTATTTATTTCTAAATATTTAGGACTATTATTAGATTGGCCTGTTATTAACTATGTGTACACATTTACTTAATTGTAAATGTATCCAGTAATAATTCTCTGACCCATCCCATCATGTGAGTTCCCCAGAAAACCCATTCTCAGGAACCACTATCTTAAAATTCCTATGACTATTTCCAAAATTTTTTTATGCATATGCAAACACACTCTAGTTTATATTTGTGTCTCTCCTATTTTTATATGAAGACTGGGGCATTTCACAGTGTCAGTCTAGCACCTGGATAGTTTTCTGTTAATATATCTTACCTGTAGATTGCTTCCTCATTCTTTTTTCCAGCCTCAGAAGACTCAACATGTTGAACTCACCATAATTTATTTAATGAGTTACTAGTTGGTTGACAGACTGTTTCAGAGTCTATTGAAACTTTGCACAGTACTATAATGTCTAAACCTTACACATGTATCATTATATGCACATAATGACATCCATATAATGAATTTCTGGAAGTGAAATTGCCATATCAAAGAGTCCACGGCTCTGTAATTTTGGTAGCAGTTGCCAAATTATTCAGAAGAGATCTGTAGGAGGAGCAGGCCTGAGTTCGAGTCAAGCATGCGGAGCTCAGATTTGATTGTTGTCATTCTTCAGTGGGAGAGAGGAAGTTCACCACCATTTCACCAGGTTCCTCTTTCAGGGGATGCTTAACATGTTTATACATGTTTCCACTCCTTTTGTGTGGAAACTGCCCCTCTACAGGCTGTTCATTCTGATGACTGGGCAATGGGTCATATTCCTATGGACTTCTAGGAATTCTTCATGGACTAGGGAGACTGGCACTCTTGGGAGCATTGCCTGCCAGGCTGGAACCTGTGCCTGGGGACAGAGGACTCGAAACAGAGCTTCCTTGTGAGTTGCTGGACCCAAGAGGAAAGCTTTGAAGCAAGAATGATGGCTACTCAAAGAAGTCTGTGGAACTCATTCTGTGTAGAAGGCTGTGGTGGTCAGCTGAAGACATTTAGAATCACCCAAGAGACATACCTCTAGGCAAGTCTATGAGGGTGTTTCTAGAGATGTTGCACAGAGGTAGAAGACTCGCCCTGAATGTGGTGGCATCATCCCGTGGGTTGAGGTCTTGTACAGAATAAAACGGAGAAAGTGGGTTGAACGCCAGCATTCATCTCTGTCTGCTACCTGACTATGGCTGTGATGTCACCAGACGCCTCACACTTCTGCTGCCATGACTCCCCTCCCATGATAGAATGTGGTCTCAGGCTATGAGCCAAAATAAACCCTTTCTTCCTTAAATTGCTTCTGTCAGGTATTTTGTCATAGCTACAAGAAAAGTCACTGATTTAAGAGCCAAGAAGAGGCTTAGCTTACATGATACTTATTAATAGGTCACTCAGAGCCATCCTTTAGTGCTGTAAGCACTGTAAGCCATCCTTGGCTTTCTTTAATATAAGGCTTGTCCTCTCCATCACATAGTTTTATCACAGACAGCACATAGAAACAGATCCTGCAATGGCTACTCAGGATCAGCTCAGGAAACATGACACTTCTCAGGGTAAACTCTTTTGCATGTCCTAAAGATGAGGGCACCACAGAAGAAAGCCCCAGTAACTACGGGGAGCCTCAGAGACTGCTAGGTGTAGTTCCCCTGAGTTCTTTCCCATTTACCTAAGAGGTGCTTTGTTTATGGATTATGAACCACAGAGACATGGACAAAGAATACTGGCTCTGGGAGAGCTCAAGTTTCTGGTAACATGATTAATATCTAATTTTATGATAAGTAGCCAAGCTAGACTATGTATCCAATTAAATCAGTTATAAACCTGATAGTTCATACATCCTTAAATAATGTGAACAAGCTGGCCCTGGGTCCCTCCAGGGAATTTGAACTTTGAACAGCATATTGAAAGTTACAAGTGAGCTCATTTCATCATCTTTGTCTTGACCAAGGGGCAGTAGCAGACTTGTAGGCATCTCTGGAGACGATTCAGAACATGCCCTGGCCATCTGTGAGGTAACCCTTCCTTGTGCAGCTGCACAGCGACCCCTCAGAGGCTACTGGGAGCCAGTAAGTGCTCTCCTTTTTGCTTTGAAGCAATGAACAGACTTTGGCTTCACCTGGACCTTTTTTTTTTTTTTTTTTTTTTTTTTTGCTACAGCTCAGGGGAGACTGTCACCAGCATGACCAGCTTGGCCCCACTGCAGCCACAGAAAGGCAAGCGGCGGAAGGAGAAGGCAGATGTCCCTCCTGAAGTCCCTGCCAAAGGTAAGAAGCTGGCCTGTGGTTTCCTAAGTGGAAGCCATCATGACTGATGCAGGAGTGGGCCTGGGATCAAAGGTGGGGACAGAGTAGGGGAGTAGACGGATGGAGGACTTGTCATTCAGTACTGCTGTGGCCTAAGCAGCACCACCTGTATTCTAGTCATAACAAGCTGGTGCTTAGCCATCTCAGCCCACAGCCAACCCCTGGAGTGTGGTGAGGTTGGGGAGCACCATGTGTTTGGCCATTGGCAATGAGGAAGATCAACATGCGCAGCAGAGTCCACATTGAATTTACTGTGAACATTTACAACAGCGAGTGAGGCAGAAGTGGCAGCATCTTGGTCCTTTCCAGGGCAAGAAGGGATTCTGACCTTTAAAGATGTATGTAGGAGGTCTCAGACTTATTCTGCTGATAAAATGAGCATTCCGAGCTGGAGAGATGGCTCAGCGGTTAAGAACACTGGTTGTTCTTGCAGAAGACCCAGGTTTGAATCCCAGCACCCACATGGCAGCTGACAACTGTCTGAAACTCCAGTCCCAGGGGATCCAACAGCCTCTTCTGTCCTCCGTGGGCATTGCACAACATGGGTGCACTTACCTACACACAGGCAATACATGCATACACATAAAATAAAAATAATAAATAAAATATTTTTAAAATGAGCCTTCCATAGTTAGTTATTCTGTAATTTCTTTTTTTATTTAGAGCAACAGGAATGAGCAAGATAGGGGTTTCCTGAAGGGGGAAATGTATGCGTCTTAGGAAAATCAAGACTATCTGTAGATAGACCCTAAAATAACTGGCCTGGTTAGATGTTCATCCTTCAACAAATTTGAAATACATTCGGAGACATAAGGATTTCTCAGGAAAAATTTTAACATGGCATGATATATGTTATCCCTTAATTGGATGCCTGTTGGTGTTCCCCTTGAGCCCTGTGGAAAAAGCCAGTAGAGGCTTCTGAAAGACAAGAAAGCTGGGAGGTATGAGAAACACAGAGCTGGGGAGGAAAGGAGCAGACATCACCTGCTCTGGGCCAGGGCTCATCCTTCCATATATCAGTCGGTGCAGGGTAGATAGTATCTACTTATAAAAGATAAAAATTTGACTTAGAGAACTAAGTCATAGACTGGTCCTGTCAACTCCACATTCAAGTTCCATTTCATTCAAGACTAGTTATGTGATACCAGAGAAAGAGCCTTGGCTTGCTTTTGTTAATCCCAGACAGAAAGATCCTCTCTGATGCACTTACAGGGCTGGGTGAGGGTCAGTCATCGCTCTCAGGATCAGGAAGATGTCAGAGAGTACCTAGGAAAAGTTCTTACCTCAACCTTGACAAGGGCTCCTGGTTCTCAGCCACGTACCTGACCTCTTTGCAGCTGGCAGTGATTTATACAGAACTGTTGGGCTCTGGCCTGAGGGAGACCGTGGCATGTCCAAAGACTAGGGGATGGTTGTCCCTGTTAGGACATTCGAGGGCACCTAGTTCAGAAGACAGAGCTCTTCCATGGGGTCAGTAAAAGAGTCTGCAAGAGTCTGCCAGTCTGCAAACAGTGCCAGATATTCATGGTAGGTAGGCATTAATTAAGGGGCCCGGGAGGAATTTCAAGCTAAACCTTGGTGTCCTTCCACAGCTCCGATAGCCACCGCTTTCCACAAACCGAAGTTGCTCAAACCACAGAGGAAAGTCACCCTGGTGAGTAACTTGCTCTCTGCTGTCCTGGTCTTCTAACCTTAGACGCAGTGCAGGGGTCAGGTAGTACCTTTACTAACTTTAAATGTGTTAAAAATTCTGATACTTTTTCTTCAAAAGTGTTATCTCTTCTCAGATCAGATTTTGAGTCATTTTTTTTTCTCCACCTTCAATTCTCAGAGTGACCTTAAAAAAAACCCAAATGGCATTATCTTTCACTGTAAATGTTACTTTCCAAAAGCAAGATCGAAAAAGAGCCATACACAGAAGTAAACAGAAATAGAATGAACCTGCTTCTATCAATTTACCTGGTAACTCACTCTGAAGAGACTGCGGAAGCACCTTCCAGAAAAATGTGTTGTCTTTTTATTTTGAAGTAACTTTAGATTTACAGGAGAATTATCCTTCAGATAGTAAAGAATTTCTGTATGTCCTTTACTCCCTACTGTTAACATCTTATGCAGCCAGACTGTGCTTAGACTAAGGTGTTAACATCACATTACTGCCACACTCCAGACTTCATACACATTTCAAACCTTCTTTCCAGGTGTTCCTTTGGTGTCTCAGGATCCAATACAAACCACAATCATAATGCATTTCCTTGTCACAATCTTTACGTTCCTTCAACCTGTGACATCTCCCCAAGCTTTCTTTTCCTTTCATGATGTTGGAGAGCAGTGGCCAGTTAGTTTTCACAGGGTCTCCTAGTTGGATTTCTCTGAGGTTTTCTGATGATGACAAGTGGGGTTATATATTTGAAGGAAGAATAACACAGAGATGAAGTTCCCTTTTCATTGCATCCTGCCAGGGCACATGATCTCCACACAGCTCCCCCTCCCCCATTGTCCACCGAGGATATATTCCACAACCCCCCACCGTACATGTTGAAGCCACACATAGTACCAAACACTATATGTGCTTATATTATCCTCACACCTATCCCTCATGTTTTAATTAAGCATTTTAAAATTTTATGTGTATGAGTGGATTGCCTGTATGTATGTGCACAGTGCCCTCAGAGGCCAGAGAAGGTGTTGGATCCCCTGGAACTGCAGTTATGGAAGGTTGTTAGCTGCCATGTGGGTGCTGGGAACTGAGCCCAAGTACTCTGTAAGAGCAGCCAATGCTCCTAACTGCTGAGCCATCTCTCCAGCCCCAACCCTGATTATATTTAATTTATACAGTAGGCACAATAGATTAACAATAACTAAAACTGAAATGGAACAATTATAACATACTGTAATAAGATTTATTTCAAACATTTATTTACTATAAATTATTTATTGCTGGAATATTTCTTTTAAGATTTTCAGATGGAGGTTGACTGCAGGTAACTGAACTAGAAAATGAAATTGATGCTAAAGGGGGCTTAAGTGTCTCTTTAGATGGGATGCCCATCTCAGTCCACGGTTAAAGTCATACTTGCTGGGTTTCCTCATTGATTTTTCTATCTATCTTCTGTATGTTAAAAGCCAGCTTTGATGTCCAATTCAGAGACAAAGTGGGCAGAGGAAGTTAAGGTCTACTTCCTAAAGGGAAAAACATCAAGAATTTGTGGACATGTTAAAACCTCCACATTAATAATGATTTCAGAAAGCCACGTGAAGTTTTCTGCTCACTTACATGGCATTCCTCCGAAACTTTGCCTGCAGGAGTTTCTGCTGTGGCTTGCACAAGGCAGCTTTCGGTTCCCTCAGCCCCTCTGTCTAACACTTGGAATTGGAATTCTGTAAGGAGGAGCTGTCCCCTTTCCCTCACTTGTTTTCTATTCACTATTCTCTTGATAGCACTATGTATGCATAGTCATCTGGTTAATACTTTTATTGTTTAATCATTTGTGGTTTGTTTAGCAGATGCACATGTGCTGTGTGGGTGAGAGAAAAGACAGTCAAAGCGGTTACAATAGAAATTGCTGCAAAAGACAGTTTACTAGAGTTCTGTTGCTATATTCCAATGATATATATATAGATATATAGTACATTTTGCATGTCATCGTATTTAATTCTCATAATAAGATTCCTCCCTCATCTTCCAGTTTTATATATGAGGATCATGAGCACTGAGTTTAAGGAAAGTGGGTTCTTGCAGTCAGCTGGGATGGTCTCATCAATCTTGAATCAAACTGTTTTCTCTATCTATAGCCTGCCTGGCCCTTCCTCTCCTTTATCCATTAAACATTAACAAAAACTATTGTACAATGCATGGGCACAAAACGCTGTCTTAAGCAGTTTTGTTTTTTGTTTTTGTCACTTATTAGAAGATTGGATTCAACAGTACTTAAAAAAAAAAATCACTGTGCACTGTGGTCCCCGCTGCAAGTTTCACTGTTGACCTTTTTATTTGTGTTTGTTTGAACTGGCATACTTCTCTGAAAAAGGGCTCAACCTAGGAATATTTTATGAACCTTATTTCAAAGAACTTCAACTAGAGACTTCTTTACTACTGTAAAACGTTGTAACAAAAGGAAATCCAATATAGATGCAGGAAGATAGAAAACGAATTATCAAATAAAATATTTGGAAATCGTTGGCCTAGGAAACTCTTAATTTTTACAGAAAAAGTAGATCAAGGTGCATTTCAAAATGATTATTTGTTGGATACGAGTTTTCTTAATAACAGTTATTTAAATGCCAAATTATCCTTCAATCATTTAAGATGTAAAGAATTTAAAATGTTTTATGCCAAGTTCTGAGTCGAGTCAATTTGGATACCAGTTTCTGCCGATAACAATTCACAGTAAAGAGAAGAGCTGACCTCAACCAGGCCTCTGTCTGACCAATAATTTGGAGTCAAAAATACCAGGCCTAGTGTCTACAGGCTTGGGTGGGTATTAAGATACAGTATCCCAGGAGGCCAGCACTGACCTCAGTCTCAGTTTGGTCAATATTTACTTCTCGGATCAATAAGTCTTGATGGTAGCTGAAACTTAAGTCAATAGCTACTTGTTGGCTCACACAGGCCTTAATGGGTAATTTAGAAAATAATTTGGAGACTTTGTTTGGGACGGGGAAGGTGGCGTCTCCCATCAGGTATTTAATTTTGTCATTATTCAGTTTGGCTACACTCTGTAAAAGGGTGCTTCCCGGTTGGTTCCTAAGCCCCAGTACCCCATGGTCTTTCTTCCTAGAAACTCATCCCTCCTCTTTGACAAGAAGGGGTAAGGCTGGTCTAGAGAAGTTCCACTTATTGACCGCCTGCTGCTTACCAGTTCCTCTGCTAGGTGTTTTATGATTTCTGCCACTAGTCTCAGCTACAATGCCAGCCAGGCGACAAGCATGATCCTGTGTTTGCAGCACTCAAGGCATTAACGGGTGGGAATCCCATTCTATGCTTTCAAGGCAACTTGGCAGTTTACAAAAAATATGTATTTTAGAGATCAACCGTGATTGTAAAGTTCTTTTTTTTTTTTTTAAGATAGGAAATAAGAAAAAAAGGAAAGCAGAAGAGAAAGGCATTTTAGACTTTTTATAATCAAGGTATCAAAACTGTAATCCCCACCCATTTTTCAAACAAAAGCAAACATAACCTGCTTTTCCATGTACTACTCATCAGGTAGAGAAATGCCCTAGATCACACTGGCTCTTTCGAAATGTCTGACAGTGTGACCAGTCTGTAAGATAAGTTTGCATGTTTGCAGTCAGTCTTCGTTCTAAAATGTCAGAGGCCCTTCATTGTTTGGAGAGTGAGGAAACATTTTCAGAAAAGCGGAAGTGTGGCCTGGAGGCATAGCTGAGGGGCAGAGCACTTACCTAGCAGGTCCAGGGGCCTGAGTTTCATTTTCAGCATAACAAACAAAAAATTCTAAGCTCTGTGCTTCTGTGACATGTGCACTTGTAGTTTTTATGTTTTTTCTTCTTTAAAGTGGGGCACTGGCTCAGAAAACTCCCTGAAGCATCTAGGGACCCCCAATATCCTTGCCCTGCCCCCACCCATGACATTGCCTTGGGAATCTGTGGAACTAATCCACACACTTCCAGGAAAAATGGTCACTGCTTCCTTGTTTCAGAGTGCCTGAAGGGCATCAGCTTTATTTTCTGCATTAGGCCACTTTATTGATTTAGAGGTTGAGCAAAGGAGGAAAATAGTGTCTATGATACAAAAGCAAAACTCTGAGTTTAAAGGGCGGGGGTGGGGAGCAGAAGGAAGAGGGTATAGCCAGTAGCATCCCAAAATTACTCAGAATGAAAGTGAGCATCCTTTTTGGGGTCAAATGAACTTTGATGTCCTCAGTGCCCCAGTCTTCTACCATCCTCTACAGTGAGCCCGTCAAGTCGACCCCTCTATATATAGCTTGTGCAGAGCTTGAGGGTTACTAAGGGGTCAGGCCACCCCTACTGTCCAAGGAAGGAGAAAATGAGTTCTTGTGAGCAAAAGACTGAAGACAGAAGACTCAGGAAGACTGCGGGCTTAATTACCACAAGTTTCCCAGTGGGCCTCCTGGAGTCTCTCTTAGTCCCTTCGATCCATCCTCCGCATTGCTGCCTAGGGGCTTTCCTAAAACTGCTCCAACCCTGTCATTTTCCCAACTAGAATATTCCAATGGTTCCCCCTTGCCTCTCAGATGAAGCATGACTTCCTGCAGCAGAGCATCATCATCTGTCATTGCTTCCTTGGTCCCACCCCACCAGGAAACAGCCCCCTTCTAACAGAGACCCCATGTGGTCCAGGCCCTCTCATCCCGGCTCTCTGCCCTGCATGCTGCTGCCCTCCCACAGAGCTGTTGCATGCTCCTCACCTTTTCCTTGAAGCCTCCTGTTTCTGGTTCCCACAGCGCCACAAATCTGGGTCCACCCATGATTTTAATCATGGCTCTTGATGTCAGCACCCTGTCCAGTGACCTGGAGCACTATCCAGCCCATCTGCTGTGTCTAACCCTTCCTGGTGCACTGCCCTTGTTGTTGGAAGTGATTGTGTCACCCACTGTCATCCTTTGCCTCCTGATGATGGCTTCTCCTCAGGCAGTTTGGCTGCCCTCCCCCATGCCTGTAGAGCACTAGCTGCTT